AAAATAGTTTACTCTAATTTTTTCTCTAAAATAACATTGATTGTTGTTGCAAGGATATTCAATTCAAAAAATAGAATGATGAACAAAAATAAACAAATTATTCTATATACAGAATAAATCTAATTTTTTAGTTGATTATAGAGTCAAAAATAAAATATTATTTGAGTATTTTTTTCTTCTAAATAGAGTAGAGTTGGAGATAACCTAAACAACACATACAATTCCCACCTCTATACTTTTAAAAAATCAGACAACAAATCTAAAATATAGAAAAACAAAAGTGAAACTTAAAACATTTCTTGTGCATGCACCGTTATAGTCAATGGACAAACATATGAAAGAGCTATCCATCCGCCATTAAAAAGTTGTTAATATATACCATATCACGAAATAGTTGAATCAAGGATTGGTCCCTGCTTGGATGTATACACTAATATGCAAATAAACATGTAGACATATCAAACTCATTCATGCATGCACATATATAACTATATAAGCGTCTTGCATGTGAGTAGACTCTTCTCCAAACCTTCTACGAAATCTATTGTGCTTTAAAGACATAAAAATCTCTATTGTGTTAAGCAGACATGAAAATCTCTAGTTCTTGTTGAAAGACAAAAATCTCAAAACAAGTTTCCGATTCTTTCGTGAGTATAGTGCAGAGTAGGGCTGGGCATTTTATTCGTTAAATTTGATTCGATTCGTTATTCGTCTCGATTCGATCCGAAAATTCTGGATATCCGTAAACTTTCGAATTGAAGCAAATACTAAAAATCAATATTCGTAAAAATCGAAGCAAATCACAAATATTAAAATTTTGAGAAGCGGATATCCGATCCGATCCGGAAATATATAAATATATGTATATTTTGATTATATTTAAATTTTTAAATGTATAAAACTATTATTATAGCTTATGATTTGACTAATTACATTCACATTACTACTTATATAAAATTATTAGATAAAAAGAAGAGAAAAATTATGAAAATTATAAAAAAAATCTTAAGTTTTGTGTTATTATAGTTGTTGACTTAAACATAAAAAAATTATAAAACATGTAAATTTACTACTTCTTTATTTTTTATTTTATATATCATGTAATAAAAATTTACAAAATAAATTTATATAAGATTATTTGTAACGGATGAGATATTCGTAAGTATTCGTAAATATCCGCAAATATCTGTTTATTTTCCGGATATCCGTTTTTCCGGATATCCGTATTTTTCCGAAGCAAAGCAAATACCAAAATCAGATAGCCGTAACATACGAAGCAAATCACAAATACCTTCGAAACCCGGATATTCGATCCTTGCCCACCCCTAAGTGCAGGCACGTATATACATAAATAGGCACTTATTGTTTGATTACCAGAGTTGGATTTGGGTAGCTGATAGTGAGAGAGAGGAGCTCCACGTTCCATTGTTTTTCTGCCGTTTTTTAGTTCTTTATAAAATAATTATATGAGTGATTTGTTGCATGCAAAGAGAGGTTGATGGTTATGTGATTTTATAGAGAGATGATACAAATGGCGAAGGAGGCGGTTCTTACGAGGTCGCATATCTCTCAATCTCCCATTGGCTGGTTTCATTGGCTAGGGTCCAGTTAAAATAACGCCACTGCTCTTCTCTCATTGGTCCTTTATTTCACTTATCACCAAAGTTAATTAAGTGAAAGGGTGGTTAAAGAAAAAGAAAGAGAAAAGAAGATTTATGGAAAATACCCTTTGTTTAGAAAGAAAACTGAAGAAGATGCTCAGTGTTTTAAAATTGAAGTTAAGAAAATTTCCATAATCAGTAACATTGCAAATGATTCTCTCTTACATATGGAAACACATATCATGAGCATAGAAAACAACATTTTAAGACTACTATTATAACGCTAGCATCATTTGTTCTCAACCCATTTCATTTCGTAGTATTTATTAATGTGTTTGTTATATTTGATTTTTTACGTTGTAATATATAACTTAATATTTATGGGTTGAGTGTTACTATCTGAAGAATTAAAATATTTTGCTAAGATGTATTTTCTAACTATTTTCATGTCATAATTATACACACCATTTTAAATTCAACTAACTATTTTTTCTTTTTAATATATCATGCAATACTTTTTTTTCCAGTAACGAGAAGATCTTGCTATAATAGCAAACTTCGATTGCAAGACTACAAATGCACATTTAACATCTTTTTGATATGCTTCTTGTTTTGCTGCAACAAAGAAAGTCAGATGATTTTGATATGCTTCTTGTTTTGCTGCAACAAAGAAAGTCGGTTGATTCGGATTTTCGGTACTATGCTCATAAGTACCATTCGGTTTTTGTTAATAATCGGACCGGGTTCGGTTCGGTTCCTTCCAGGTTCGATTCGGATCGGATTATAACCAATGTCTGAGATCGTCCAAAAATATTTTTTTTTAAACCTAAAAATTTGACAAAATAGTATTCAAAATATGTAAATTATTCACAAGTATAATTAAAAATTAGTTAAACTATCTAAGTTAGCTAAGATATATTCAAAATAACATATAACATAGACTATGAAAATATTTATAATATTATAAACTATCTAAATTACCTTAACATATATAAAAATATTAACATATTTAACTAATTTCGGATACCTTCGGATCCTACTTTGGATTTTGGTTTGGTTCGGTTCGGGTTATACCCAAAGTCCGAAGTACTAGGCGCATAAGTCTCGTTCGGTTAGGTTTGTATAATGGTTTCGATCCGAATTCGGTTTTTTCGGTTCGGGTTTAGGTCGGTACTTCGGGTTGGGGTAAAAACGCCCAGGCCTAATAGTACAAGTAGGAAAATTCTAGTTGAGCCTAGACACGAACTAGTACAATTTCTGGACAGAGTTATCTATCTCTTGACATATGGAATAAGATTAATTTGCTAACCACTGAATAAGAAAAATACTATAAGTATCTATATTTAAACAACTTTCTGTTTTGTTTTTTTGGTTGCTTTCAAAAATCAGTAGCTAAAACTGTATGGTCGTGAATAATTCTTTTTCAGAGAACGTGAATAATCTATTATGTAATTTTATCATATTTTGTTGTTGAATAGTCTATTCATTTATAACTAGGCATAAAGAAACAAAACACCTTATCATCAATTATGTAAATATTTTGGGAAATGGTTCAAAATAGCGTTCGTTGTAAACTAGGCAAAATAATCCTAGGTAACTAATTTGAAATTAATATGTTGTTATATTCTAAAATATACTTGGAGTATTCTTTGATGTCTGAGGGAAACCAGTCCAACAAGAAACCTTGTGATCAGTGGCGTATATAACTCATAACTATAAGAAGGGGAAAGGATTTTATTGTAGATATATTAATTTCAGTGATATCCTCAGATATATGATGATCGATAAAGACCCACGGCTGCTTCCACATTTCTTTTATCCGACGAAACATGTATGGTATATTGGTATCTGATGTGCTATTGTCGACTTGACATAATCAAACTATTTTTTTACTTAACATGTCTATTTCTGTGATTGATCAAGTAGTTTGAAATTCTTATCTATATCCATAATGATATACTAAGCACAACATTTGAATTCAAATTTCAAAGTAACAAAAAGAAAACAATTTCAAATTTGCCTTTCTTAGTAGTCAACCATTGATATTGACTCCGTGCGCATCTCAAAGTCAATATGTTAATACATGAAGTTCTTCAAACGTATTTTTGAAGTACAGTATATTTTGGCGACTGATACAAAGTCGAATATTTGGAGTAAAATTAAACTGCCAAGTGCTGACATTATTGAAATGAATAAGAATTCATATAAGTAATATTTTAAAAAGGCAGAAAACAAAACATAAACTAGAATTATTGCATTGTCGGATACAAGGAGCAGAAACCATAAATATGTTCTGGTAGTATGGTACCAATGCAATTGATGTTTTCTGGATCATGCCATTGGGTCATTAGTTTAGTCAACATGTTTTGGGGAATCACAAGCTGAGCGCCGAACAAGATCTTCTTCTTCATCCTTCTCCCATTTTCCTTTTATTTTCTTGGGCAACCAAATTTTTGTAATAACAGAGTAAACAATTGCCACTAATTGTGTAATATCTAAACAAGAAAAATAAAAAATCGACAAGTCAGTGATCCAGATCAAGATCATAATATCAACCTAACACCACTTATGTCCAAAGATTCGATCAAAAAACAAAGAAGAAAAAAAGCTCCATCATCAATCAAGCAGTTGATTTACAAAAAAAAAAGGACAAGCTTCTTGCATTTTTCTTCTATTTACAAACTGTTACAAAAAAGTAAAAAACAGATTGAAAACTACTTTGCTAAAAAAACCTCTGAAACAAGCTTCTATTCTTTTAGCTTCAATCAGGGTTAGTAAACCGGTAATAAACAAAAATATTTACACTTTCTGTTTTAACTTGGACAAAATTTACCATCCGTCTGATTTTGAACAGCTTTAACCGCAGCCACTCTTGCACCTGTTGCAGCCTTATTAGCTGCACCAACAGCTCGACTAACTTGTTCATCTACTCGTCTCCGACTCTCTGCCGCCTTCTTTGCCGTTTCTCTAGCAGCCTGAACCGCTCTACGTACCTGCTCGCTCGTATGATGAAGAGATGTTACAAGATTCCCTGAATCCCATTCACCAGACTTACCATCACCAGTTCTAAACGAGTAAGCACCATACCCTTGCTTACGACCTTCATGCCACGCTCCTTCATAACAATGACCATTAGCAAAACGGTACACACCAAACCCATGTACCTTGTCTCCAAAGTACTCTCCCGCGTAACAATCTCCATTTCTACAAACATAAAACAAATAAAAATTTATATATTTAATAATCAGATTTTCAACAATTATAATTAAAATCACAAAATAATTGTATCTGCATTTCTACAAATATTAAACAAAAAATTACTGTGTTTTTACTTTTTACTAATGATTTCAACAATTAAAGTTAAAAATCAACAAAACAACCCATAATGATTTTATTTACCTGAAATGGTAAGATCCAAGCCCATGTTTGAAACCAAATCTTGATTCTCCAACATACGAACTCCCATCAGCACAAGACTGAACACCAAACCCATGGCTCTGACCATTTAACCATTCACCAGCATAGCAATCACCGGTATAGAATCTATAAACTCCATAACCATGTCTAAGACCATGCCTATACTGACCTTTATATCTACTTCCTCTAGCCCAACTCTCGATCCCATGACCATCGTATCTCCCATCGACCCAATCACCTTCGTACCTTCCCCTCACGAAGTAGTAATACACACCACTCCCGTTACACTTCCCTTTGTGAAACTCCCCTTCGTAGAAATATCCATTGCTGTAGAATTGTACACCTTCTTTAACGAACCGTTTGGTTTTCTTATCCGGTTTGGTTTCTGTATCGCCGATGTACCATTGAACCGGTTTTGACCGGTTCTTGCTCTGAAAGGCGTTGGTGATTGCGTGTATCGTTTGGTTGAGAAGTGTTATGTTCTTGGCGGCGAGGAAGAGAGGGACGGCGACGAAGATCAAAGCGAGGAGGAGATTCTCGGAGGTGAGAAACTCATCGGTTTGGGAGAACAAACCGAAGAAGAAGAAAGAGCAGAGACTGAGGAAAGAGAGAGAGATCATGGTTAAGGCTAGACCCGGATTGATTCGGGTTAAACCAGTTCGAGGATTTGACCGGAATAGTTTACTCCTCTGTTTCTCTTCTTTCTCTCCGGCTTCGAGATCTTGTTTCTCGTGAGAGACATCGTCGGAGATTAAGTTTAAGCTGTGAAAATACGAACGAACCGTCGACGGTGACCGGAGCAACGGTGAGTGTGTCCTAGTCAGCTTCGCCTGTCCTTCCATTTTAAAGTTTGGAAAATAATAAAACATGAAAAAGACAAATCTTTCGATCACGAAAGCTTCATGTAAGGAGAGATTCCGGTCACAACCGAAGTTCTTGATTTCTCCGGGGATATCTCAGGCGAGAGTACAGTAAGCATCACGAACGAGAGAGATAGAGATCACTATGCGAAATCTCAAGAGTATTAGTGATTCTTGAATATCTTCGTTTATTAAATTTTCGGTACCGGAGACATCTAACGGCGAAGTGTGAGAGAGAGACAGGAGAGTTGAACTGGTTTGGGTTTGAAGACTATTTTAAAGGAGAGGAAGGAAACCGATATTTATCATGGACCGTTTGATTAAGATCTGATGGTTGATTTACGAGAGAAATTAAAGATAGCCGTTGGATGAGAGGAAGAGAAAGTTCCGCTCGACGGATCCAGACATGAGCGGCTTTTTAGTTTTATTCTGGTAAGGCTAGCACATTGCACACACAAGCACAGATAAAAAAACCAATAATTTAAAAAAGTTATTTTCTTTTTGGGCTCTAATAATTTTTTTTTATCTTTTTACCTAATTGTTTTGCAGATAATTTTCTGCTTTTCTACAGCTTTTTCTATTTTTCAGTTTTAGATTCATTGGACCAAAGGAATAAAGAGATTTGGACATCAGAAGAACTTTACAATTTAAATATTTTCTACGCCGTATATTTCTTCTCAACGGGTCACAAAGACTTTACAATTTGAAAATTTTCGACGCCGTATATTTCTTCTCAATGCGTCACATTCTTTTTTGTTTGTTAAAAAAAATGCAATCTTTTTGAAATTTTGTGTTTCATTTGTGATGTAGTGAGAAGAATGAAACATCTCATGTAACGATTTCATTTTCAGTATATTTTAACTCAAATATAAATTATGCTTAGATTCTAAAGAGTTTTAAGTTTTTATTCAATGTTTGAGATATAAATTCTATTTTCTTTTTGATATAAATTATATTTGGAAAACCAAATAAGCTGGATTTAGACATATGTCGGAATTAAAATGAATTGCTTTCAAGTCCAAATTTATACTAGTAGACTTCAAAATTGAATTGGATTCTAATATATCTAAATTAAATATCTAAAGTCTACACTATAATATTGGAGCTTGACTTCTACTAATATATAGTTTATTACTAAAATTTTGAATCATTTTTATATTTACAAATACAAGAAATTTGTAAAGCCTAATTAAGACTTGGTATGAAGTGGGAAAAACTTTGTTTTGTTTTGTGGTGTAAGGGAGAAACTTTCTTGCTCGTATTACATGAAATTTCTCTAGTTTATCCAGAACAGTAGTCCTAATAAATCACACACAACACTCCTGATGCATAGTTATGTTTTGATTTGGTTTAGTAATTTTAAAATAACATATTTTCAAAATTTCAAGAAATTGGATTGGAGGGGAGAGGGAGTAAACTTGGTTTTAAGCTAACACCTTAAATCACATATTAGAAAACGCAATTAGTATGACTTAACCTGAAGTGTAAAATGTTTTTTTTTTGACAAATTGAAAATATTTTTGAAAATGGATTTTTCTTCCGGTCAAAATAGGATCAGATCATATCAATTAAATTTATCTAAATTAGTCTTTTTACAGTATAATATACATAATACACTACATCACCACCATTATGCCAGCTCCACTATTCATTCATATAATGTAGTGTATTTAACAAGTTATGTGTGTATTAACATCCAACAACATCTTTGAATTCATTTTACTTTTGGTAAGAAATATGGTGGGTGTTCTGCCAGCAGGATGGCTGGAGTCGACCAGTTACTATATATACACGGAATTGTTGTTTTTTTCAAAAGAAATATTAATGGCGAAGAAAAAATGAGAGAGGGGTTGGATCAAATCAAGTTAATGTAAACAAACCATTTCTCACCAAACATGCCGTTTGGTGTTAGGATTTAGGATCTACAAAATGAGAGTTGTGAACTTGTCATGATATTATCCCATTTGATCCTATTAATTTATAACATGATGACTACTTTATTGCTCAACGACATCAATAGAATATTATCATCTAAATCAGTGTCTAATTTCAACGAGATCTAAAGTCAAAACTCTGTTTATTCACGTTCATTTCAACTTTCGGTGCTGGTAAGGACAATTCTTAGCGGTACATGGAAAACCGATCACATGACTGATTTTCAATATGGAATTTCGCTAGCATGTAAAGTGTGCCATATTTGCAGATCAACATGTGAATCGTTGTGGTCAGAGATTGAACTTCTTTAATTCATTTTTTTATCTTGTTAACGGAGTATTTTAATGAAAAAGAGGAAGAGGAAAAGAGCACAGGCGTACAAAAGTGTTTCATTAATTACACATGAAAAACATTTTTAAGGACACATGATAAAGATGATTAGGAGAATTTAAGCAAAAAAAAAAGGATGATAAGGATAACATGAGTTCATGAGTATCATAATAGACAAACCAATATCAATTTACTCGTACATGCTTTAACTACGGTGTGTCCAATACGTACAAAGAGATAAGATGTCAAAAAGAAAAAATCATACATTGCTATATCACTAAGTAGGGGTTTTTTTGCTAATCTTTCTCAGTTTGGTATGTTGTCTTAGAGAGTTAAATTTGGCTAAACACTTCTAAAATCCATCAATATCAATAGTTTCCAACTTGAGTTTGACACACAAAGTCTTAATATGTAATTAAAGAATTTTGCAAGAACACTTGAGAAATTCGCATTAAACTTTCTCATTAGTATGATTTCTTAAAGTTTTTGAAAAACTTTATGATTAAATATTAATGAAATTTGTGAGCGATTTTAAGTGGAACATAATAACTTAGGGACGAAAACTATCAAACTGAATCCCGACTATTGGGGAATTAACATTTCGGCATGAAAGAGATCGACACATGACAACACATGATTAATTTGGTGGATCCAGAATACTCCTATCTAATTAAAAAAAAACATCAAATTAACCGAGCTGAAATCCCCAATATTGCAAAGGCAACAAGATTCCGGTTAACAAAATTAATCCTACCTATTAAAGTCACTTTCCGGTCTTATCCGACCCGACTCGTCGTTAGTCATCATCGCCCCGAAGCTTGACTTCAAGTGGAATCGAGAAAGGTACATACTTTGCTGGACCAAACACTATTTCTCTCGACTGGTTACTCTTTGTATCTATCAATAGGAATATGATTATCGTTCATAGGTTTAATGAAACGTTGCTCAATAACCCTTTGCAATTGTGCTTAGTTTCACTTCACTTCCTCTTTCGCATTCAGTTTGTTTTCCTGATTATGTTGTCACTCGTTAGTGCTGCTTAAAGATCTCAACTTTTCATTGATTAAGTTCATGTGCTTAAGCATTCACTTATAGTTCACTTGCCCTGATAACAAGATTAAGGCTTTCATGGTCCACAAGATGTAGCATTGTTAAGTGCTTGAGTCCATTTGAATGTCTATATCTGACTTATAAGATATATATGTCACAGGTGAAAGGAGCAATTCATTTCAGTTTACTGATCAAAGATGGTACTCAAGAGAATGTGAAACACCTCGAGGAGTGCACCGTTTCCAAGTGAGTCTCTTTATGCTTACATCAACCAGACAAAGAGTCTTGATTGTTTGCTAATCATTACTCATTAGAATAGAGAGTTGAACACAGTTTCAGTGTTTGTTTCTTGTGATTGTTATTCTTGAAGTTGAAACATCCACAGGGTTTAGTGTTTCAATTTTTTGTTTGAT